AAAAGTTATAAGCGAGTCACATAGTCACAATATCTCTCGATCGAATCAACCGATTTTGACCGGATTAGCGACAATCGGCGTGGATTTTCAAGCTTAAGGGCGGATTAATTTTTGAAATTGATCGATTGAGCCGTTTAAAAGATATCCAAAAAAAACCACTTTCAAAAATGATTTTTTTCTTATTTTTTTTGAGATTTTTCAAAATTTCTCAAAATCTATCGGTCCGAATCGGTTCAAATTCTCAGGAAATCTAAATTTCAGCTAAAAAATATTAATCTTCTTCGAGCTAAAAAATATGATTTTTGTGTCATTTTGAGCTCTTCGAGCTCAAAACTCTAATAGCAGTTTAATAAAACACAATTTTTTGAATTTTCAAACGGCAATAACTTTAGAATGAATGAACCGATTTTCATGCGGTTGGCGGGATTCGACGCAGTTTTTGAAGCTCCATGAAGAATATTTAAGTTTAAATCGATCGAGCCAGGAATTTCGAAGTAATTCCGAAAAAACACTTTTTTCGGATTTCTTTCGACAACGATAACTCACGAACGAATCAACCGATTTTAACCAGGCTTGCGGTGATCAACGTGGTTTTTTAATCTTCAGAGCTGATTAGATTTTGGAATTGATCGGTAAAGCCATTTAAAAGTAATTCCAAAAAAACCACATTTCGAAAAATTTTTTTTTGTAGTTTTTTTTAGATTTCTCAAAATCTACTGGTTCGAATGGGTCCAAATGGTATTCAAAATCTAAGTTTGGTCAAGTTCTTTCGAATGGCGTCAACCGCGATGAAATCGGTCGAGCCATTCAAAAGTTATGAGTGGTTTACATACGGCCACACAAACACACACACACACACACACACACACACACACACACACACATACGGACATCACCACGGAAACATTCGGGGAGGCTTCCTAGGACCTCAAAACGTCAACATACGTTGAAAACTCGATTTTCGAACAACGGGGTAAAACCAATAACTTCCCGATTTTTGAAAATTTTCAATTTTCTTAGCGGGAAGTTAAAAATTAAGAAAACTTTCACCCTGAAGGCCATCCCTGCAACTTCCCGCTAATTCCATAACTAGGCGCTTAAAATTGCACTTATGACGTTTTTGAGCTCTTCGAGCTAAAAAATACAATTTTATGTGTTATTTTGAACTCTCCAAGCTAAAGAGGTAGCTTTTCTATGCTTTTGAGGTCTTCGAGCACACACACATACACCCCTGATTCAGAAAGATGATTTGAAATGATTACCTTCATGTTAATTGTATATCTATATAATATTCAAATCCGATACATTTAAATCATTTCAAATCATTCCAAATTAGATTTCTTAATCAGGGACACACACACACACATAAAGACATGCGGACACCCTGGCGAGAGTAGTCAGGGAAACTTCTTGGGACCTCAGAACGTCTAGATCTGATGAGAATTCGATTTTTGCAAAACGCGGTAAAACCAAAAACTTCCCGATTTTTGAAAATTTTCAATTTTCTTAGCGGGAAGTTAAAAATTATCTCAAGTTTTTTTTACACTAAATAAGATATTTATATTATTCTGTAAGTGCCATATGAATAATAATATAGGCATTTTTACTTCTGAAAATTGCTTGATTTTGGTAAGGCGAAAGAAGAGTACTAGCTACCTCAAGCGCTTTCGCGCTATAAGGCATGCAATTCGTTTGGTGTCAGATAACTAAACTGAAAAAGCTCTTGATGCGATTTTAAATTAATGTAGTTTGACGCCTGGCTTAGGCTATTTTAATTTTCTTTCAGCTCTTTTGAAAACCTGAGTAAGTCGTTTACCTGTCTCTTTTTTTTTTTTTAACTTCATCGTTTTTACTATACAAAAAATGTCGCTGTAATCTTACAATTGCTTCATGATTTTTCCAAGATTATATTAACCAGGTCGAAATTCTGAGATGGTGTTTATCATAGACCTAATATCATAGGCTTTTGTAAGTCTTGAGCTTTAACAAAATTTATAGAAACTATCTATCAAACAAATATTTATTGTTTATCTGGAACAAGTTCTATGGAAAAAGGTAGGCGTATGCGTTATAGAAAATTTCATCAGTTGTCTCACGAGTCTCGCCAAATGTTAACCAAATTGAAATTCTTCTGAAAATTTCTTGGGATTTCGTCAAATTTTTTTTTTTTTTTTTTGGAAAACTGCATCGACTACCGAAAGTCGCATAAAAATCGATTGATTTTCTTGAGAAATATCATTGTTTAAAATTTTTTAAAGAGACGGTTTTTCTAACTATCAATTTTTGGAGCTTAAAGAGCTTAATAACTTAGTAATAGATATAAATTAAATTGCGTTACGTTAAGAGAAAACAGAACATTCAAAGGGTCTGCACGTTCGCCCGAGTTGAAAAAATTAACTTAAATGAATTCAACTGCTATACTAAAACAATGAATTTAAACTCATCTAAGTTCATTTTTTCGACTCCGCCAGGTAAAAAAAAATTATATCTGATTCATATGGAATTATGTACAAGTTGTATAAAACTTTACATTAAGATTTTTGTGATTTTGTATAAAAATTCGACACAATTATATAGAATTGTCTGCAACACCACTGGAAAAATTATATATGACTTTATAGAATTATACAAAATTATATGGATCATTCCATGCCAAATTGACAAATTTTTTACCAGACCCCCTTCGATTTTTCTCAAAGTTTTCTATCTTTTTCTACCTCCCAAAAGACATTTTTAGAAATGATTTTAAATTTTTTTACCCAGCCCAAAAAAGTTACGAATTTTTGAAAAAAAACCGCTCTTTTTTTTAAATCACTAAAACTTTTTCAAAAATTGACCGATTGGGACCACACCAAATAGAAAATTGTTTTTTAATGTAGTTTTTATAAAAAAATTTCAGAAGCCCGGATCTATAAAATATTTCGGTTTTTTCGCAATACCCGTAATTTTCTAGAAGTCTGACCTGTTTTATTTTTTTTTTACTCATAAAAAACCAAATAGTTCTGCAAAAATCCGCGCTAGTTTCAAGATGTGCTGAAAATCGCTTCTAATTTTTTCTTTTTTTTTTTTTAATTAAAAAAAAAGTTTTTTTTCAAATTTGGCTTATTTTTTATGTGACTTTATTATGAAATTTTATTGGCTTCCTCGTGAAACTTCAGAAGTTAAAAAATAAAATTTTTTTAGTCGAGTAAAAAATTTGTCGATTTGGCATGGAAGACCACTTTATTTAAAGAAGTTTGTTAAATTTTGAAAGTTCATACACGGGAAGAAAATTGAAGGAGTTATTACTATTTTACTATTGTAATTTTTACTAAATAAAATAGTAACGGTGGACTATACTTCTCATTTAGTAATTTTTACGATCTACTATTGTAAATTTTATCCAACAAATAAGACTAGCAAGAGTTTTAAAAAGTCAAATACTATAGAGCAAATTATACAATATGTGTTTGTGAATTTTACAATTCAACTATTGTAAAAATTCACAGTTGGTTTTTTTAAAAGAAATATTAGGGAGGGAGAGAGATAGAAGGTTGCACGAATTGGTACCTGTACAGTAATCGAAAAAAGAAACAAATATTTTCGTGCTATCTGGGAATCGAACCTAGAAGTCTGTGTTGGTAGCCAGAGACTCTCCCTTTAGGCTATCCACGGTAAACTAAGACCCATGTCCTTTAACACTTATATAAAACTCAGCCCTGTGTCTAGCGCTGTGCACGGCCATCACTCACACTAATTGAGAGACATTCCAATTCAACTATTGGAAAATTTGCTATAGTTCTATTGGAAAGATACAGAGGCAGCACTGGAAATTTTCATCTCTTACTTTTTACAATAGTAATATCGTATTTTTTCATTAATAAATAGTATTTTTTCTTCTAAAATATTTGATAATTAATAGTAATGAAGGTATAGTCCAGCTTTACAATAGTTGTATCGTAAATTTTCCCAGAAATTTTTTCCCGTGTATCTAGAAAAAATTTTCATTGAAAACTGATAATATTCTTAATTTTTAGATAATTCTGAATTAAACGTATTGATATATTTTAGGACCTTTTGTTGAAGACATATAACAGCTAATTTAACAATGATGGTGATAATTATTACGATAATAATAAAAAAGCATCCTTGCATATAAATGGTAAAGGACATCCGAACAAAAACAGTTTCACTGTAAAAAAATCGCGCCAAGTCCACGTTCATAAGACTATTAAGAAAAAAAAATTAGTTTTTTTCTCTACAAAAAGATATAAAATAAAAAAATAAAAAAATCCAAGTAACCGATATGATTGTTTATGATTTTCGGAAATTAAAAAAAAATTTTGTTGTAAATTAAAAATTAAAAAAACAATTGTAATTATAATAAAAATTTACAATTGGTACCAACTTAAATCTCGCGTTGGCTGCATTTTTTTATAGCAAACTATTCCCTTGAAGCTACAGTTTATGTAAAAATAATTCCAGCGCACCCTGGCGGGTGTAGATGCAAGCTGTGAAATATCTTTTTTTAACTGTAGTTTCCCATCTAATGAAGGATTATTATGCATTCTCGAATTATTTAGTCTGTGGCAGATCACTTTGCCCATCGAAAAAAAGTCAGGTTCGAAATTTTTGCATTGCTATAGTTTGTGTTGATCAAATTTAGTAATTTCAAGTAGATTAATTGTTATAAGTGAATATAATTAATTAATTCCTACAATAAAAATACATGACAGTTTGAAGTTAGTCAATAGTCGAAAAAATGAGACCTGATTCCTTATTAGTAGAATATAAACCCTCCTCAGTTACTATTGGTCAATCTCCTGGTACGTGAACATATTAATATATCGATATAAATTGAACAGGATAAATTCATTCGAGAATTTCGATAGGGGGCGCGCGAATGCGCGCCGTTAAAAATTCTAGTAACAGTAAAATAAAGTATGAATTACTGTTATAATATACAATTTAGGAAAAAAAAGTACCGTAGAATTAAATCAAATTTTGCAACCTCAAAATACCGTTTTGCTTTGCTTACAGTAAACACAGTCGGTAGTCTGGCGCTCCGTTGACAACGGATTTGAACGGAACTTGGCACCAGATTCTACCGAATCTGTGGATAATAGCCGAAACTAAATTTGATTTAACTAAATTTGATTAATAAAAATCAAATATTTTATCAGTTTGAAAATTTTGCTTGTGTAATGGTTATTGCTTCTAAGTAGAATAGAAAATTAGCCACGTTCGGCTGATTCTATGGCAACTTTTAATTCTGGCCAAATTGAACTAGATATTAAATGACTCCATTTTCATTTTATTATTGTGACTTTGCAATTATTTGTTTATTTTCTAATGTTTTTTTTTTTTTTTTCAACACATGGTCGAGTGTTACATTTAAACTTTGAACAATTTTCTTTGCATCTTCATAATGATTAATTTGTTTTCCAAATGCATTTATGAAAAAATCCGTAAAATAGTGACTCACAACATTAAAACTTAGTCTGAAAGATTAGATATAGACCAAAACAGCGATTCAAGCATTACCTAAAGCAATTACCACATCTCCAAATCTTGTTAATCGCGTACACGGAAAAAAAATCCTATGAAAAATTACATTGGTAACATCGTAATCCAGGACTAGACTCTCAGTATGTTGATTTTTACGATGCTGCCGTCTACAGAATACAATTTGAATTATTGAAAATTACTATGTTATTTAGTAAATTTTTTTTCCGTAGGAGCAAGTGAATAAGGACGCATACTATATGTTTTAATAAAAGAGAGACAGAGTCTAGTAGTTTGCGACGCTACCACCGAAAGATGACCAACTACTGTATGGAGGGTCTTATTATGTGACTGAACAGAAAATATAGGTATTCCTTCTTATGGCGTAAGGGGATAAGCCTTGGGCCTGTGGCGGAGAAAATATCGGGTTTGATTCCTCGGTGACACGGAATTATTTTTTCGGTGAACTAAACTCCTTTTTCATTTAAATGATAGAAATTTACGATGTTGCAACGTATAAATTACAATGTTCGAGTTCTGGTCCGGCACTACAATGTTCTATACTAAAAATTACTATGTTTCCATCATAATTTTTCGTACAATTTTCTTTCCGTGTATTTATGATGAGCGTAATCCATTTAGACTTTTTTGTCTATGATATGTATGGATTTATGAGTTGGAATAGTTGTATTTTTTAGATTTGATAACAGTCGTGAATTTTCTAAGTTGCTCCTTATACAGAAAATCTCATTAGGACTATGATAAGCGGTTTGTTTGAACGGAAAACTGTTACTTACGGACGTCTTTTCATGCGGAAACTTTAGAATTATGAGTTCGTTTCACTATTCGCTCAGTCATTGTGATCTCAAGTATTAATTTAGTGTTCGCAGTTATCAGCACTTCTTCTTATCTGTACTCTGATATTAAGATGAAAAAAACACAATTATGTCAAATATAGCTTGTAGATTAACTTTTGATGTTGAATCTGATGGAGTATGTTGAAATAAATGATTTGGCCAAATGACTACATTAAGTCGAGTTCAAGTTATTCCGAGTGCTCGAGCGATAGTAGCTTTCTTAAGTAAATGATCAATAACCTTAATTAGATAGATGAAGAGTTATGATGGTGATATCACGAAAATTCATAGTATAAGCATTTCTGAAACTACATAATGAAATATTTAAATACAATTGATTGGTAATAACTCAGAGCCAAGGTTAATCAACATTATGGCTGTAATTTTTTTTTGTGTCGTAGTAATTAGTGTTTAGTATGTAACCAATGACTTAGCGCATTGAAAATACGGTTCTCTAGTGACGAATGCTGGTTTATAGTGAATAAAGTAATATAACTTTATTGAGTTGAACAGTAGCAGCAGCAGTGCTGAATGGTGTTTTTTTGACTTTCTGTATGGAATTGATTGTGAAACTGCTACTAGACTGCGTAGTTACTTAATGATTCTCTTAGTGACACTAAATACCTTACTATGTCACTGACTAGCAGCGTATTTATTGCTTAGATAGTTGATGCAAAAAATATTGTTCTTAAACGCACGTCAAAGTGTTTTAGGTCCAATTGACAAATACAAAAATAGCTCACGAACAAATTTTATTGAAGCTTACGTCACTTGTCTGAAGAAAACTGAACTTGGTCCTTCATGAGGTAATCCACGAATTTATGTTGTCTCTTTCACCATCCAAGGAATCGTCTACATTACCCAAGTAGCCTGTGCTTGAGCAAGATTATTGTCAGAGTCTTTTGCTAAACTCATAGGTACTAGAGTTTTATTCTACGTATGTGTCTTGCGCAAAATCTTGTAACAAGGACTCGATTCAAGAATTATTTATAAATTAATCGTGATATTATATGCAAGAATATTAGAAATATTTTCAACACGGTCCATTCAAAAAGCTTTTGATGCATTTTTTGCAACAGTGTTTTACAATAAACATTTACGCATGATTTTCTCAAGATCTGCGCAAGATGCGCGATACATATTAGTCTTTTATTTTTCAATGCATTTTGTGCTTTAGAAATTCGCAGCAGATGCTTGCGCATAGCTTGAACAGGGATAGAGTGACAGAAGTAATTGCTCTCGTGCAAGCCATGATAAAGATTGTTATATGGATAGTACCTAACCACGATTTTGTAAAATCACCACGAGGCCATACTTATTTGAAAATTATCTATCAGTAATAGAAGACATTGACAGTTATGTCTCTTTCACATCGTACAACGGATTTTTACTTTTTTGAAATAAAGTACATGATTGACAATAATATTCTATAATTTTATTCAACTATACAGATTCATTAAGAAACTTTAAGCAATTGTATTCGTTCATTGTAATTAATTATCAAAAGGGTTACTCATAAAGAGTAACTTATTATCTAATATTTTTTTTTTTCGAAACAATCGCACTGCAGTGATGACATACTTTTCACTCAATCTCTGTCTGAAATTATTTAACTAATTGTTAATAATCGAATATCAAATACTCTGATTTATAGTTTCAAAGGTCATTGCGCCACGGTCACTAAAAAAATTGTGTGAAAAACTTACCCGGTGTATTGTTTCCTCAAAACTATTAGATTGACCACTATTCATTTGAAAATATCTCAGTCTGTCATAATCTTTAGGATCTACCATAGAACGAAGAACAGCATGGCTAATTTCAGGACCTAAATCAAGTCCACTTTGAAGTACACTATCCGGTGTATCTATCTGAAATGCAAAATCAGAGGAAATAGAAGAAAATTAATAAATTCTTTACATAATATTTATAAATAATTTTAAAAGCAATAACAAGGACCTATAAATTTATGATTTAAGTAATGGCATATAAGTTATTAGATTATTAAAAATGTAACTGTTTTGGTTGTTTTTTTGTTCATTTCACAATAGAAAAAAATTTTTAATTTGATAATATCAATTGTACTTTGAAAACAATGACTTTTAGATAATTCACTGAATGTGAATAACATATTATGGATTATAAAGTCTTAAAATTTTTCAACGTACCCTTTGAGGAACACCTAATTTCATACGACTGTTGTGTTTTGGTGAAGCTTGTGCCTGGTTCTGCTTTTCTTTTTTATGTGTTTTCAGACCTTTTAACAGCCGAGAGAAAGTTGTCTTTTTTTTATTGGTATTCTGGTCTTGTTCTGCAATACCAATGTACGAAATTTAATTAATTATATTAATTTCATTGTATGAAATTTACAGTTAAAATTAATCCAATTCTTTTTATATAATTTATCCCCTCGCTAAATATGAGTCAACATTTAAAAATAACATATCTTTTTTATCTTCATGAATTTTCAGAAAGTTTAATTTATTACATCAAAATAAATTTCTCAAAACAATTTTACGATAAATTCATAGAAGTGTAATTTGGAGAATTGTACAAATGTATTTCAAATAAATTTTTAATTACGATTTTGAAAATCATACAAACGATAAATCTAATAAGCTTGCACAAAAAATTTTTCAAAGATGCCGATGCATGACTTGTAGTAGAATTGCCTGAAATATTTCACGATACGTCTTACTATATGTATTGATAAGTTGTCTTTAGCGATAATATTGTAACGCTAAAGCAACTCATTTATTTTATAATTTAGAAAATTTTATAAATCTTTGGTGACATTCCAGGTCTTAAGATATTAATATTCATTATTCATTCTGCTTTTGACTGTCATTGCAACTTCATAATCGGTTTTTACAAAAATGCACTTATAATAAGAAGAAAAGTTTCCTTACCATTTGGCGGAAATTCGTAAAAGAAAGCAGATCTTGGACTCAAACAACTGTAACAAAATTAAATAATATACAAACAAATGAATTTATAGGATAAAATTGTTTAGTTTCTTTAAGATAGTGGGTGCGTGACAGCCATATCATAAGAAAACTATGAAATTTTTTCTATCGAAAGATAAATATATTAATAATTCACCACCAAAATTTTAGATCAATTCACCACACCGTTTTTGAGTAATTAATTTTCGAAATTGCATCTTTTATACGTTGAGGTATAGAGAGATGGTAAAGCTAGTATGAAATCTATTTACATCACTCGAGTGGTACGGAAGATTTCATTCTAACTTTACCATCTCTCTATACCTCTACGTATAAAAGATGCAATCTCGAAAATTAATTACTCAAAAACGGTATGGTGAATTGATCTAAAATTTTGGTGGTGAATTATTAATATATTTATCTTTCGATAGAAAAAATTTCATAGTTTTCTTATGATATGGCTGTCACGCACCCACTATCTTAAAGAAACTAAACAATTTTATCCTATAAATTCATTTGTTTGTATATTATTTAATTTTGTTACAGTTGTTTGAGTCCAAGATCTGCTTTCTTTTACGAATTTCCGCCAAATGGTAAGGAAACTTTGGTAAAGCTAGTATGAAATCTATTTACATCACTCGAGTGGTACGGAAGATTTCATTCTAACTTTACCATCTCTCTATACCTCTACGTATAAAAGATGCAATCTCGAAAATTAATTACTCAAAAACGGTATGGTGAATTGATCTAAAATTTTGGTGGTAAATTATAAATATATTTATCTTTCGATCGAAAAAATTTCATAATTTTCTTATGATATGCTTGTCACGCACTAACTACCTTAAATCGATATTTACAACGGTGTCTGCGAGTGCCTCAGATTTTTATTTTTCATAGGTGAAAAAATATTGTTTTGATTTCAAATAATCATAACTTTCAGAAATGGCTGAGGATATATGAACATTGAGCGTGAGTTTAGCGTGAATATAATATATTTTTCAACCAATAGCATGACAAAATATTTCTGACATTCACGCTAGACTCACGCTCAGTGTCCGAATATCCTACCTTTTATTGGAATCAAAATACGTTATATGAATAAAATGATTTTGGAATCTAATTCAATATGATTTTCTTTTAGAGCAACTGATACTAAAAGGTGCTTAATTATTACACAGAAAAAATACATGTCTTGAAATCAGAAAATGTTGGTCTTCAATTCGGTACACTTGACTCAAAATTGTTCTGTACCTCAATTAAAAAAAAAAACTATTCTGGAATTGATTAAAAAACTCATACGTAAAGAATCAGGAAATTCTCGAGTCAATTTTTTGTTTAGTTTTCGTCGAAAATATTTGATTTCGATTCGAATAATTTAAAAATTTTAACACAAATATTTTTTCTTGCTCTCCTAGCCGAAAGTACGCTCATCCTGGACGCACTTTACTCCAGGAAGAGCAACTTTTATGGCCTATTTATAATTTTTGATTGATCTGTCATATATTCAAAAAGTAATGAGTGTTATTTTTTTAGAAGGAAATTTCCTAAACTTTATAATTTACCATCTTTTACGGATAAAGGATTAAGAACTTACAGATATACTTTTATTCAATACATATAAAAACATATCAAATAAAAAAATTTTTTAATCGTAAAAAATTCTTTAACGCTTTTTATATTACGAGGCGTGTAATTATAAAAATAAAAAAATACGACTTTTAAAATAAAATTAGATGATTTGGTATGGAGTGATAGAATTATTCGTGCACGCACGAGTGTGTGTATGTATTGTGGAAGTTCGTGGAATAACTAATAAATAATTTATTGAGAACATAAAATTTAAGACTTAATTTTTTTATTGATTTTCATATTAATAATTGCTTGATATCGAAAGTTTTATTATTATTTTAACGATCGTCTTGAGATATAATAGATTCTGATAAAATAAAAGAACCACGTGTAAAATTTGCTAAGTTTTTGGTCGATGGATCAACAGCTGTGTTGACAATTGTTTTATTGTCTCTTGTTAATGGAGCTGAACTAATACTAGATGAACTAACACCTGAATCACTCGATTTTTCACTAAAACATCCTTTTTGTCCAAGACTAACAATGGCATTCACACTTTCACAAACGAGTCCATCATTGCTTGAACCAATATTATATTTAAATGTTGCAGTTTTATTAACAGGTGTAGCAACTATTTGTTCATCGTTTTTAATTAAAACAGTTTCACTTAAATGATCACATTTAGATACAAATTTAATATTTCCACTAACATTACATGGCTGCGTTGTCTTCTCGAGTGATTCTTCTTTTGGTTTTACAGCTATTCCACCATTGTTTACAGTGCTAGGAATATTTGGATGATAATCATCTTTACACCCCCCTTCAGACAATATATTTACATCAGTACACTTATTAGCGGACATAAACATATTAAAATTATTTTCACGATTAAGCTTGCATGCATCAAAATTAATTAACTTTCTAGATAGAGTTTTATGTGTATCGTAACAACCCGAGTCACGTAATGGCTGTCGTCGAGTGAACGGTGAGCAATGACCTGAAGTTTGACATGATGGTAATATTCTACGACTGTTGTCATCACCTTCTGAACTCGATGCTAGATCACCTTCACTTTCAGCTAAATAAATAGATAAAAAAAATATTAATTTCGATTTAAATAATTTTAATTTGTTACCAATAATGAAACGTGTAATATTTAAAAAACTAGACGACCAATTTTGATTGAATAGCCGTAAACATTATGATTTCTTCCTTCTTTTTCTCTAAACGATTTCATTATTGATACACAGAATTAATGCTTTATAAGGTTCTCACACTGTAAGTCATGTAACAGTTGCACTGCTGTAAGAATTTTTGCTCTATGTTCAGGTTGATGGATGCGTAGATAATCAAGATCTGCTGGTTCAAGTTCTCGAAACAGTTCAAGATCTTCATAACCATTTAAAACGAACACGGGTATATGTTCCTGCAACACACATAGAATAAGCTTGAATCAACAATTTTCTTGTATTTTCGTGTATTTATTATTTAAAAATAGAAACGAGAGGTATCGTGAAATATCCGGTTAGACTGAAGCTCCTTTCGCTGTGTATTAAGTGTTAAATGACATAAGGTACAACGAAATGAATTACCAACGATTGAGCATAATAAAATAAAAAATTTATGGCAATTGTTGCTGTGGTAAATGTTGTCAAGAAGTGTTGTGCCATTTAAAATGTTACACGTTTTTCGGTCTAGTTTTCGTTGGTAAACTTGCGATAAGGAACTTCGTTTCAAGAAGTTCAAAAAATAATCAGCAGGAATTTATAATTTATTCGCTACAATCATAACTGAAGTGTGTTTTATACGAATCGTCCTGCATAATTATCATTTTGGACTATATCTTCAGGACTTTCAGAATCAGATGTAGAACAATATTTATGGAATAATAAAATAACAATAAAATATCTTTTGATAAGTTGAGTTTGCCTTAGTCACAGTATCTAATTTATCCTCCTCTTTAACTGGCTAAATAAAGTCTGTCGATCATTCACGAGTAAGCATTTATTGTAACAGCTGAAATTAGTATCGATATTTCTTGATTAAGGTAGTACCCTCGCGACATATAGTGCGAGTAAATTTAGGTATAGTCTAGGATATTTTTGTCTTTCTCACTTACTATTCCTTATTCACTTCTACTCATGGTTATTTTTGAATAATACAGTTATTTTTTAATAATATTTAAAAATCTAGATGGTAAAAATCAATGAAAGTTTGAAAAAAACAAAAAATAGCTGGTTTTTAATAGTAGTTTAGTTTTTTATGAAAATCTTAAAAAAAGTTTCTTAGTTATAATAAAATATACGAGTAAAATTTTCGGTATCCCGTATATCACAGTGCATAACCTCCTCTAAAAATTCGAACTTTGAAATTAAATATCTCTGAAACTAGATGGTCAAAAAATTTCAATTTGCGTCAATCGATGCAGAATTATATAAATATTAATCTGCCAAAATTTAAAAAAATTCCTAAGAAAACGCCTCTTGCGAGGGTACTACCTTAAATACGCTTCAAAACAAAAACTACTACCGTAAAAAAACGAACATAAACTCAGATTATCAACATTATACTGTAGAGCAACTTTGTAAAAACCTAAATCAAGGCAGAAAATCTGACGTTACTCACTGAAGTAATCTGGAGTAAATGGAAACTTAACAATTGAATTTTTCGTTATTAAATGGAAATTTTCAAATAAGCGATCTGCTAGGAAGTAGATTTATAAATAATCCATGGATTATCAAGCCGTTTTGTAGAAATTTTTATTTTTTTATTTTTTTTAGAATAAATTTATGAAACTGAAACACCAGGGAATGCGCCCCGAGTCGAAATTTGAGTTCCGTCTTGACGGTACTTTTTTCCAACTTAACTTTCAGATAATTTTACCATCAAACCAGACGTTACATCATTGAGTGCTTCATAAACGTACGTCTGGTTTAACGGTAACTTGTGGAGTTTTTTCTCATTCTGACATGTTTACCATTAAACCAGACGTTAAATAATCATAATACTAACCATAATAATAATAGTAATAATATTTTAAAATGGCTAGCGATTCGGGATCAGATCCCACTCGGATCCTTTTTTTTTTATTTTTAATGAAATAATAATAATAATAATAATAATAATAATAATAATAATAATAACACCTGATATTTTCAATAAATAAATAGATGAATGACTCACCCGAGAAAAAATATTTATATATAATTATATATATTTATATATAAATTGATTATATATGATTATATATGAAAAATGGCCAAATATAATCATATCTAATTATATATAATTATGTATAATTATATATAACTATATATAATTATATATAACAATATTTAATTATAGATTTATTACATCTAATTAATTATTGGGTTAATTTTATGGATAGAGTATTTAATATGGTCCTACGCAATTCTGTGTAACTGATCGAAATGCAAAAAAATATCTAGATCTAATTTCATGGCTATAACACCAGCGCGGTCACCCATCCAACTATTAACCCTACTCAATGCTGCTTAACTTTGGTGATCTCCGTGCGTCTTGAAGTTTCTGTCTGCTGTGCTGCTGTCTTAGACAATAATGATTCTGTAATCTACTTAATGTATCATATGAATTTATCATAAATATAATATAAAATTTGATTTTATAATATATTTGGACAGTCATAATTCATAATTTATTCATCTTACCGAATTTCATTATAATATAACACTTATTTAAATAATAAAATAAATAATGATTTTACTATTACGTAGTAGCAGAGCAGACAAAACATCTCATAGAAAATGTGACAAATTTTGTATTTCAGAATTATGTAAACGTAATTATAAACATCATTTTACACTTTTGGTAATTACCAAAAAAAATTTTTTTTTCAAAGAAAAAATTTTTAGGTATGTTAATTATATATAAGCATATATAATTATATATAATCATATATGCTTATATATAATTAACATACATAAAAATTTTTTCTGTGAAAAAAAAATTTTTTTTGGTAATCACAAAAAGTGTAAAACGATGTTTATAATTACGTTTAAATAATTCTGAAATACAAAATTTGGCACATTTCCTATGAGATGTTTTGTCTACTCTGCTACTACGTAATAGTAAAATCATTATTTATTTTATGAATAGTTTATTAAAATAAATTAATTATGAACTATGACTATCCAAATATATTATAAAATCAATTTTTATATTATAATTATGATAAACTCATATGATACATTAAGTAGATCACAGAATCATTATTGTCTAAGACAGCAGAACAGCAGACAGAAACTTCAAGACGCACGAATATCACCAAAGTTAAGCAGCATTGAGCAGGGTTAATAGAGTTGGATGGGTGACCGCTGGTGTTATAAC